CTCGAACCACATAAGTGCCCAGTGTCCCAGCTCGTATGCTTTCAAACATTCAGGATTCAGGTACGGCCTGAATCCGCCATGAATGAACGCATGTAAGTACGCTCGCTGCACACTTGAAGTGCCCAGAGTTCAACTCATGCGCCTTCAAACATTCAGGATTCAGGTACGGTCTGAATCCGCCATGAATGAACGCATGTAAGCGGGCTCGAACCACACAAGTGCCCAGTGTCCCAGCTCATGCGCCTTCAAACATTCAGGATTCAGGTACGGCCTGAATGCGGCGTGAATGAATGAATGAGTCCAAGTGCGCTCGCTGCACACAAGTGCCCCGAGTCCCGGGTCGCATGCCTTCAAACATTCAGGATTCAGGTACGGTCTGAATCCGGCATGAATGAATGCATCTGAGAGTTGCTTCAGGTCAAAGCATTGCACAGGTGCCAGACTTCTGTTTCGTACGAATTAAACACTCGAGATTCAAGTACGGTCTGAATGTAACATGAAGGAATGAAGACAGTCCGGCAGCACACAGGTGGCCAACTCCCCGCTCGTACACCCTGCTCCCGGTTTCCTAAACTTTCAAACTTTGAAATTTCATGTACGTACTAAAGGCGGCTGGCCTAAACTTGTGATACACCCTAGCTCGTAGGACTCAAGAGCGCGGCTCCCAACTCGTCACAGACCTTCAATAATATTAGGAGTTAGGTGCGGCCTGATTGCGGCTAAATAGATAGGGCGAACGGAATCTTCAGAGCAAGCCCACGGCCAGCTTTATGTGGGCCCACCTCACTGCGCCCAAGTCCCCAAGTGGCAGGACGGTTTCCTTTGGGCAGGCCCGCGATTAACAACATGTAGCAGTTGCCCTCGCTGTGCCGCCTTCCCAGGCAGAGGCCGTTTGAAACCCCCTGACAGGCCCGCGATCAGGCAAAACAGGGCTGCCATTCCTGCACCGCCCCCCAGAATTGTTGCTGAAGGGATCCCTCCGGACAAGCCCCCGGTCGTCGGCATGTGAGGGCTGCTTCCGCTGCGCCACTCCAATAGATTGGTGGGCGAAGGGATCCCCCCGACGGGCCAGCGGAAGAAAACGTGGGGGCTGATCTTCTGCGCCGCCCCCCTGGAACTGTGGGCATTTGGACCCCTCCGCACAGACCCGCAGACAGAAACCCTGGGCTGCCCTCGCTGCGCACCCCAGCTTGATTGCCAGGCAAAGGGATCCCCCCGGGCAGGGCCGTGGTTGCGGTCTGCTCTCGTTGCTGGAACGCAGTATGGAAAGACTACCGTGCGCCTCTGAAGTGGCAGGACCCTCACAGCCCTCCTTTCGCAAGCCCCTACGGTGTGGTGGCCTCCCCATCGCGGCTGTCTCCACCGCCTGAAGCGCCTGCATCTGCAGCGCCAACAGCGCTTTGGTGGGCCCCTGCTGCAGGCTGGCTACCAGGCGACCGGCGCCCCAGCAGCGCCTGTGCGGCGCGGGCGTCAACTCACCAGCCCCGTGCAGATGGTGGGGAATTCCGGAGCGCACGCGCCACGACCACTGGCAGCAGGAGAGGGGTTGCGCGTGCAGGGCTGAGCACAAAGCACATCACGCGGAGCACGAAGGGGGAAACCAGGATGTGGCCGCCACCGTACTGCGCAACAGCCCAGGATGTGTACTCCAGCCCAGCCCCCTCGAAATCTCCAAAACCGCTGAAACTGCATTGCCGTAGTAGAAGGCAGCGAGCAAGACGCCGTTGGTGGCCTGATCCTGGCGCTGCTTGATGGCGGCCGTGGTCAAGGCCATCAAAAAGGCTAAGCGCTCCAGGTAAGCCACCAGGGTGAAAGCGAACCTACACAGGCTACAGTTGGATGTGCTGGCCAGCAGAGACCACTTTTGCGGTGCACACTCCACAGCCATCGATCAACCTGCATCGTCGACTCGCAAATTCAACAAACCAGGATGGATTTGACACTGTCCCAAAAGCCGGCATCAAAAGTTGTGCCGTCGGTCGGTCAGTTTCAACCAGTGCCAGGTCGACCGGCAAACCTCCCGGCGAGCAGTGTCAATTAATCTGATTAACAATTAGGTAATTGATGACCTGCTCCCAGATCTGAGCGATGAAGCTGTAGCCCTAGGAGAAGCTCAAGGTTGGATGTTGGAAGCAAAGCAAAGTAGACGCCATGGCGTCTGGTCAAGGCAAGCAGCAAGGGGGGACCCTGCCGTGGCAGAAGAATAAGGATAAGGACAGGGGCAACAGGCCACTGTTCACAGGCGGGCAGAGTGCTGAAAACCAACGGGTGTCTGCCGGAGTTCCATCCATTAGCTCTCATCAAAGACCTCGGTCCTCGGTGTTTCCTCCAAACTCAAGCATAAAAGATACACAGCAGACTGAGGTACCCCAGGACATGGGTCTAGGAAAGGAAGCAACAATGCTGTCTCTAGTGATGGAACCCCTCAACATGGCCGAGTTTCTCACACTGCTTGCAGCCCTAGACCTCTACCCGCAGCCATTCCCAGAGCGTAGCAACTACATTGCTGACATAATCAACAACGAGAGGGCAGCCCTGTCTGCTAAGGTCACGTCAATCGAAGTAAGCTCTATCATTGAGAAGATCAGGCTGCATGATGCAGCTCCAGAACATGCAGGGAACACAATCCGGCACCACTTCCCTGCTGCTTTCACTGCTAAGAGCCTGAATCTGCTGCATGTGGTTATGCCCAGCGTCACCAAGTGCTTCAGCTGTGCTGACGAGCCAGATCTAGCATGGGTGGCACGGCCAATAAGCCCTTTGTTCTTTCCATACGAAGGAGAACCAAGGCAAGGCAAAGTGTTTCGGAAGTTCTGTCCCAAATGTGGCGCAGTATATCATCTGAATTTCTTCTGCCCACAAGGCTTGAGTGGGCCCGCTGTGCCGTATCCTAAAGAGCAAGACTGTGAGCAGTGGTTCCAGCAGTCGCGAGAAACCGTGATCTCGAGGAAACTTCTTGAGGCCCACGACTACAACCTGTGAGCCCACCAGCCCTTCAGTCCCCTTCTCGTGTTGATACAGTTTGCAAAAAGGCTGCAGAATCTTCTGTCTCTTATTTCCAGGTGTGGCGACCACCGCTCGTCAGATCCATTGTTTCTCATGCACATTTGCAACGGTCATCAATTCGATTGGTTCTGCTACCAATGATCTAGCCAGTGCTCTTTCTTTCCAAGAGCACAACAGCGCACTCACTCATTTCCCACATCCGTCCAGGTACTGAAATCAGGCAAGCTTTCTCGGAGCTGTCCGCACACACAACTCAACTGAACAGCTTCAGCGCCACTCTGGCTACGCCCATCTAGCTCATACGCCGCTCGTCGCTCGAAGGTCAATTCGTGGAGAGCTGAATCGCGATCGGTTTGAAGAAGCCTACCTGCGTCATTGGGCGATCAGATTTGCGCAACAGATTGGTCTTAAGTTGCTGAATCAACTTGATCTTAGAAAGTCTACCAACGATCTGATTGCCCAGGTCAAAGACAACGCTTGGGAGCACCTTAGGCGTGAGGCGCACGAGCACGCGCAGGCAGGCTGCTCTAACCCAATGTGCTCGCGATACATACACGTAGACGGACAGGCTAAGTGTGTCCGAGCTGTGTGTGCCGAGAAATCTGTAGAGCAATTCACGACGGCAATAGGGAGGGTTGTCAAGGGCTGCACGCATACGCCCCTCCCCCGCAAAAAGTTTTGCAAGCTCCACATGCCGCAGGCATCACAAGCAGAGGCAGCGTCAGAAGCAGTAGGCGAAGAGGCAGAAGAAGAGTTAGGATTAGTAGAGCCAGATGAAGAAGAGCCCGAAACTGAATGCTCAAAAACTGACGTGTACGAAGACATCAGCGGTGATCTCGACGAAGAGGTGGTCTTCATCTCTGAATCTAGATCCAGACCCCCTGAGCTAGAGAACCCTCAATCAAAAAAGCAGAAACAAGTTGAAGTGCAGGACCCAATAGCTCGGATTGCAGATGCACCTTGGTCACTCCGCACAAGGCGGGGGCAGGCACGTGTTGAGGACGAGAATGTGTACAACGTGGAGCGCGTCATCAAGAGCAGGATCAGGAATGGGGTAAGAAGGCCAGATCAGAAATAGGGATGCCAACTTTGTAAACCTCTTGCGAATCAAGTGCTCTCGCAACCAAAGCAGTCAGTACCTTTTTTGCTTCTGCCTAGGTACCCTGCCTCTTTTCCTCTTATGCCTCTGATTCTCTTCATCGCCCGCAATCTGTTTGAGATTCTTTGAGGGACCCCCTCATACCCCTCTTTACGCATTTTCCCTCATGGTTTATCCGCAGAAGGAAGAGTTCTGGACGAAATGGGAAGGGGAAAGTGTGTGCACATGGGAGACGGAAGAAAACCTCACTTGCTTTGGGTCTGAGTGTGTAGAAGACTACAGAAGAGCTCAGCTTCCAGGTGCGTGGCTGTGTGCTGAATCTGACTGTTGCTGAGCGCTTCATCTTCAAAACTTATACCCTGTGCAACAGACTTGGCTCAGGCATATGCGCTAGAACCCGGCATCTTGCATCTTCATGAGAAAGAGCAGTGAGCATCAGACTGTCGAGAGCAAAGGAAAGCTGCTTTCTGAAAACTCTTCTCTCCCCACTACAGGAAACTTCTACGAAGCAGACCGCACGGATCTGCAGCCAGATGATGCAGAGCAGGGAGATGACAAGACGCAAAGAGTCAAGGCCCAGTCCTGCTCCCCGCGCACGTATGCTGAGCTTGGGAAAGGACGCACTGCAGGCTCTCTTTGGGCTTTCCGTGCGTGCGGGTACAGCTTCCCGCCAAACGAAACTGTCCTTTGTGAATCATCTACACAGGTGAGCCATACTTGCCCATTCGCTCCGGTGCTGTAGTTGCTATGCTTACATCAGCTGTGTGAAGACTTGTCATATCGACCTTCACACTTCCACCGTCTCGCACTGTCTTCCAGCATCGTAACAGCAAGCAATTGAAAGTAGATCAACAATGGGTCATCAGTTCAATGCAATGTCCTTTCTGGCGCCACCTGACATCAAGAAGCCTCATTGCAGGTTTGGCACTACCTCTGTGAGCTCTTCCGCGATACCGACTTCCCCGAGTTCGTTGGCTTTGATGACATGTGTCATCTTGCGCGGTTCATACTCTCCGGGGAGAGGACCGCTGTTTGCCCCAAAGCGGCGGAGTTCGCAAGGGTCAAAGCAGTGGGTAAGTAGCACCCTAGGAGCAGTGCAACTCTGATTCGGCAAATGCTCAATACGCTAGGATCCCAACAGTGCATCGCTTGCATGGGCATCGCTTGTAGAGGAACATAGGCTGTTCGAAAACCCTAACAGCAGGAGGCATTCCATGTTGCAGTCGACAAATTCCACTTCGACAAGAACCACGTGGGGAAGTGGTGCAAGGAGCACGTGAACCCGCACCACCATCCAGAGCTCACGAAAGCAAACATGAGCATCTGTGAGCAGCGTTTCAGCTGGTTCGGGAAGTACAAGCACATACTCAGGTAAGAGTCTGCGAAGCGAGCGCAGAGAGTCATTGACAGAATTAAGGACACGTCTGTGATCAGCACAGCTACTTCTGTCCTGAAGCACCTTGTCTTGAAGTACAGAGGAAATGCACGACCAACTGCAACCTCCTAGAACCTTCTTATGCAGGAAGATGAACGAGCACCGGTTCCACTTCCTGCTCCTGATTCTGTGCCAGATTGACCACATCCAGCGGGACCGCGACCTAGCGCTGCGACGTGCAGCAATCTTATCAGCTTAGATAACTTCTATATCAGGCGAGGACTCAGAAACTCCGTGCTTCTCAGGAACCAGCTTCTTCGTTGGCGTTGAAAGGAGCACCCCTGCAAGCAGTCAATCTGAAGCTGAGTCAGAAATCTCAAAGTGCAGCAACAGCTAAGAATCCTTGCCAGATTGCCTTCTCAAAGAATTCTTCATGTCCTTGCAGATCAGCAGCACCAAGGATTCAACAGAATTGCTTTTGCAACAACGGCTTAGAAGGTGAGCTCACACTTCATTCCTCATGTGGTCCACCCTGCTCGGTAGGTAGTCTTGGAAGGTAAGCTGGTTGCAGCCGGTTGCAAAGAGTCAGGTACTCGGACGGGCAGCTGGGGATGATCTTGCGGAAGAGGTCGTTTGGACGAACCATGCCCGGAAGGGTGCCAGCCTCTGTAGACCCGAAGAAGTGTGTGTCGTCGTCATCGTGAGAAGAAAGGTGATCCCAGAGGCGGATGATGTCCTGCTTCTTGCCAAACGTCTTCTTGCTCACGACCGCAGTGATGTTGATGACCTCGTCCTTGAAGGTCTGGAAGAAGCGCTTGATGCAGAGCTGCTCTTCGCTCTGCAGAAGATTCGAAATAGGCAATCAGCGAGTTTGCAGATTTGAGTTTGCCTCAGATGCTTCAGTACATTTGTGGAATTCTTGCTAAAGGTTTTCCCCTGTTCTCGCAGATAAGTGACTTACCAAGACATCCCCTGAATTGAGCCGCCCTCGCCTGGACCCGTCGTCGTCCCCACTGTCCTCATCCAGGTCAGGAAGTTCCCACTCCCAGAACTCATTGCAGAATCGGATCATGCTCTCGTCACCCTCGAACAGAACACGCTGCTTCAGCACCAGCTGCGAAATCTTGATTGCACAGTCCATGGCCTCGCTGCTGATTTCAAGCATCTCGTCTCTAGGGTCGAGCGAGTCGCCGGTTTCTGGATTCTCAGCCTCCTTGAGCATGACGACAAGGATGTGCAGAGCAGCTGCGATCTGGAGAGCTTCTCCTTTCACTTTACCGAAGACTCCTGCACGTTAAACATAAGCAGCAGGGTCAAGAAAACCACCGTTAACCTCAGGATATGAACCCCTCGTTTCTTCTGATCTGACCCCTTACTTAGCGATCAAGATTCTGCGCTGCTTTTGTCTTGGTCCTTACCTGCTTTCGAGAACATGGAGTTGCTCGCTAACTCCGCGAGAAAGTCCTGGACTTTGTCGAAGAAGCTGGCGTGCATCTTGTAGGCTTCACCACGCACCACAAAGGCGCGTTTCAGAGCTGCTCCGGTATCAATGTTGTGCGCAAAGTCAAATATGAAGAGGAATACCTGGAGAGACCACATGACAATGCCTTTGTTTGACCTGCACTTTATCTTTGTTTCAAATCAAAAGCAAACACGAAGTTCCAGGTCATTAGATTCGTCAACAGTCATGCGTGTCGAAGTAAATTCGTACCTTCATGAGCAAGTCATCGAAGTCGGTGATGGTCTTTCTCCAATCGTCGCCGCTGATTTTGAGTTTGTCTGCAGGATAACCATATGAATACGTCAACTTCAAGCTCCTCCAATATTGCGTTGCACTTTTGGACATCTCAATCAAGATACTTCCTGCTCGATGGACAGGCAGTCTTTCGAAAACAAAGAGCGAGGTGAGAAACGTCTTACCTAAGTGCTCAAACACGCCAGGAATGAACGTGATCAAGAACCGGTTTAGCAAACCGTCCTTCGGAGTCTTGAAGAGCTCGACACTGAGCGGCTGAGGCTGCATGTAGCCCGAAGGGATGAAGTGCGTAAAAGGAATGCTTGAATTTGGTCGGCCAACAGTCTCCCTGTCCCATGACGAACCCCCCTTCAGTGAGAGTATCTGCGTTCGGTCTCCTTCTCCCTTCTTGTAACCGTCCATCCAGGCGAAGAAGTAGCCGAATTCCTCAAGAAACATCATTCGGGCATGGTTGACGTCATGTTTCAGCTCCTGGAATAACGCCTCCAGAGTCGCCTGTAAACGAGTTACAATATTTCAGAGAATTGCGTGGGACATTTTCCTGATGCGAGATGATCAATTCTAGAATTGGCAACCAGTGGAGTTGCAACGAAGGACAGCAATAAATGATCGGACAGAAATGGCTGGAACTCACACTTTTAGCAAAGAAACTGAATGGTTTGATTTCTTCGTCCTCGTCCTTGTCCTCAAGAGCTTTCGTTTTGATCCTCTCGTTGATCTTCGTTTCGACTGCAGTAGCAATCTGCTTCAGCTTCTTGAACGCAGGAGTCTTTCCGATGGCGCTGTACGCTACAATGATACACCACAGGAGCAGGCGCTCCTCCCATTCGTGTCCCTCAACTTCGACAGTGGCATGCGGACCAAGCAAAAGACAGGTGAGGCTCAAGATTGGCAAGAACAGATGCCAGGATGACAGACTCGCACGGCGGCAGAAAGACTCGCACAGCGCATAGAGTTTCTCAGGCACACACTCCTTCAGCGCCTCTTCTGTTGCAACGGAACTTGCTTGTCGCATCGCCTTATCAACCGCGGCGTCCGAGGTCCTCGCCATGTTGCAAGCCACAAAGAAGCCGTTCAAAACAGTGAAAGCGATTCTCGAAATGACAAAATCTGCAAGTCAGGCTCCCCTTTTGTACCCAGGACTCGGTTGCCAGTCTTCCTTGGCAGTCTGGCTTTAACAACACTAGTCAGACTGCTTTCGACGAACAGCGTGTTTCGAACCTGGAATTCCATCGAAATCGAATCGGGAATGAACATCGGCATCGACATCGAATGGCAGGATTCAGCTGAACGCAAAGCTTTGCAAGTCAAGTCTGGTTGGTTGAGGCTTGAAGAATCAAAGTAGGTTTGATCCGCGTCAATTGTTCTTCGCAGAAGGATTGTAAAACAGCAACAATCTCAGCGCCAATGGCGCAAACAGGCGCTGTGCGCAAATCCTTCTGGATGAGATTTCCAAGGCAGGCCGCAATGCTCAAAGCATGGGAAAAGTGCGGACACGATAACGCCAAGCCGTTTGCATCACAGGATCACCAAACGGGAACATACAGCTATATTCTCACCACGTACGACGAGATCTGGGCCAGGGCCCTCGGTCGATACTTCCCGACAGGCACAAGGCACCTGTATGAGCTCATCCACGAGGTAAGAATGCTCTAACGAATAGGCTTCTGACACGTGTCTTTCCAATCTTGAAAATACCAGAAACTTACGTTATTTACGTACTTGTGCAGGGCTCCTCTGTTCATCTGTACATCGACTTCGAGTTCGACCCCACCCTAAATCCCAACCGGAATCCGGATGCTATGGTCGATGCTCTGCTAGAGGTGATCGCCAGGCTACTATACGACACATACGATGCACAGATTGACGAGGGGGGGATCGTCGAGTTAGACGCATCCTGGTCAGGTGAGATGCTAATAACCAAAAGTCTCGTTTTTCTTGTCTTGTATGTTCTAAAGCTGCCAGACTATCAGGGTTCGAGGAGTCTCGTGTTTCGTCCTGCTATCGGATCATTTGCTCCCTTCCTTTTAATGCCAGCAGACAGACTTTTGGAACAAGGACTGTACTCTTGCTTTCTAGTCTGCTCAGGTGCTTTATTAGGGTTCTAAGGGCTGGATGTGTGTTCTTGTACTACACTCAAACATTTTCTGCATATTCTGCATTCTCTGCACTCTGATCGAATGCTTTCATTCATTTCCTTGCAGTCAGAAGTGAAATTGCATGTCTTCTGAAACGGTCTTGACCATCAGGGTTCGAAATGGCCATGTCTTTCTGTTTCTTGAATGCCGGCAGACGGTCTCCTGGTACAAAATCTGTACTCTCTCTTTTAAGCGTTTTCGTGCGCACTATCAGGGTTCGAGGTGTCGTGTTTGTCATACTCTGCTACACTCACAAATTGAGCGTTCAGTCATTTCTTTGCAGCACAGCAGAGAAGTTACCTGTCTGTTACCTTTCGCTTATGTTCTAAAGCTGCCAGAATATCAGGGTTCGAGGGGTCTCGTGTTTCTTCCTACTAACAGATCCTTTGCTCTCCCTTCAATACCAGCAGACAGACTTCTTCAACAAAGACAGTACTCTCGCTTTCCAATCTGCGCTCGTGCATTATCAGGATTCTAGGGGCTGAATGTGTGTTGCTGTCACTACACTAACACAATCTCTACATATTCTGCCTTTTCTGCACTCTGAATGCATTCATACATTTCGTTGCAGTCAAAATTGAACTTGCATGTCCCCTGCTCTTCTTCCAAAGCTGCCTGACCATCAGGGTTCCAAATGGCCATGTCTTTCTGTTTCTTGAATGCCGGCAGCCGGTCTTCTGGTACAAAATCTGTACTCTCTCTTTTAGGTATTTTCTTGCGCACTATCAGGGTTCGAGGGGTTGTGTGTGTGCTGCTGCGCTGCGCCCCACGGATTGAACATTCATTTATTTCCTTGCAGGAAAGATCTCGAGGCACATTGTGGTACATCTAAAAGACTGCGTGTTTTCCGACAACTCCTATCATCTGAAATGGTTCATGAACAAGAAGGTGAGATCGCCACAATGAAGTCACATCTCAAGATGTTACTTTCTAAACGGTTTCCTGGACAGATACCGTTGCCTTTTTCTACAGAAAAGCGCAATATCAGGTGAACATATATGCTTGTGTCACGTGCTCGCAGGTCGTTGATTACATTCTCAGCAAGCGCGACAGCGACGAGCTGTGCACAATCCTGTTCGTCAACAAACGGAACGGAGACACATCGTACACTGGCTTGTGCTTTGACACAGCCGTATACAGCCGCAACCGCCTCTTTCGCCTTGTATACTCGACGAAGCACAATCGGTCTGAACAATTCATTCCGACTCACCGACGCAGGCCTTCACAGGTGATCACAGGGCTCGATGCACCCCAAAACTCAAAGATTCTTACATTCACATATCTTCGAGCAAGGCTTGTCCAGATCCTGGCCGCTTGTACATGCTGACAACCAGCTCACTGTCCTCTCTCTTTCCATACAGGGCCCGATGGAAGATTTTTTCGCCACACTCGTCTGCAATACAAACGATGAAGCACGCCAGCTGGAGTGCCCTCGGATGGTAAGCGAAGCATCTGCCGCTTGCAGCACAAATCTTACATCCTCCTTCGCTTCTAGGTTCAATTCTGTCAGCGTCAACCCCATAAACCGTCCAGTACTTTCTGAATCCCACTCCGGGGGTGTGCGTGCGGTGGTTCGTGAATACATTCACTTGTTAAATTGCAGGCCCTCCCCTTCCGTTCTCCTAGCTCGAGACCCAACTACCAGCACGAAGATTCAACGGCAACTTACAGGGAGCTCTCAGAGTACGTCAAGGCCGTTGCTTCACAGAACGGTCGACAGGGTGAGCATTGATAACGTGACTCATAGATTGACATACAGCCAGTCTCTCAGCTTGCAGCTCTGAATTGAAGAACAATCGGTTTTAGGGTTTCAGAACTAGAAACCCTAAAACCCTAAATGGAACATTCGGTTGCTCAAGGGTTCTCCGCTTACGAAAACTCGTTAAGATTTGGTGTTGAGATTTCTCTGCCATTCTGGAGTCCGGACATCAATCTTCCCAACATCAAGCTCATTTCGCTCTGTCTTGATTGCAGCCTGCATACGCGACATGAAAGTGTGAAGATTTCTCTGCCAATCTGGAGTCCGCACATGATCAATCTTCCGCAACATCAAGCTCATTTCGTTCTGTCTTAACTGCAGCCTTCATACGCGCCATGAAAGTGTACAACGGGATCATCTCCTACGAGATTGCCGGCAACCACTATTGCGCCAACATCGGACGTGAACATACCAGGAATAACGGTGAGCCAATTCTCACAAGCCTCTTCTCTTAAAAGCCTTCATAGCACACTGTCCTGGGACGCTTTGGCATTCGTGTTGTAAGCAGCATCAAACGCTGTTCCTTAAGAACTTCAGCAACCGATTAGTCAGACAGCCCCTCTGTTTGCAGTGTACTATGTGGCGGACCTGCGCAGCGAAGAGTGCACCCTAACACAAAAGTGTCACGACTCTTACAGCTGCGACGGTGAGACAAACCGGCTCATGACTCGATATTTACCAGCAGCAAATCGATGATTCCCGGATCGATCAGCGTCGCTGCAAGCTCTAGAACTCTGAAGTTGTCAAAAGCGTAAATGCGGAAACGTGCAAGTCCTGCCTGAAGTTCGTTCTTGCTTTCAGGTTACCGGTCACCACCGCTACACATCCCCCACGCCATCGCGAAAGTTACAAGAGAGCATCTCCAGAAAGCAAACGACGGTGCGTATGCGGGCCTGCTCTTCGTTTTCGAGGGCTGACACTGCTATCGTAACCACGCGGGCCTTCAATTGGCCAGCTTCAGTGAAGCTGCTGATTGTTCTGTCCATGCTTGCTGCCTTACTCATGCAACGTATCCCCTGCAAAAATGTGTCGGATCAGTAAGAAAGCAATCTTTCACTGCAGGTCATGACGCTGGCGAAAGCCAGTCAGGCGACGACCAATGGGACTCAGAGTTTTCGAGTCTTGCTGTTGCTCTACTGGACAGGGTGTCAAAAAGAGTTTCTAGATCAGCCAACAGTCCGCAGCTGCCAAATTTGTTTGCAGCAATGGACGTGTAAGGGAGAGACGCATCTTGTATAGATTTGCTCTCGTGAGTAGAAAATGGCAAAACATGGTGTCCAGTATTCACAATCGGTTCATTCAGGCTTCACGTGAATCCTGAATGAATGAACCCCTAGCTCCACAGAGTAGGTGGCTCCTGATCTTATCCACGTCGATTTTTGAATAGTGATACGATCATTCAGGTTTGCTTCATTCAGGCTTCACGTGAATCCTGAATGAATGAACCCCTAGCTCCGCAGAGTAGGTGGCTCCTGATCTTATCCACGTTGATTTTGAATAGTGATACGATCATTCAGGTTCGCTTCATTCAGGCTTCACGTGAATCCTGAATGAATGAATCACCGCGTGGGAGTATGACGACAATATTACTAGCCATAGCCGAAAGTGTAGAAACGACCATTCATGTCCCATTCATTCACGATTCATTCAGGCATCACGTGAATCCCGACTGAATGCCGATTGCATGAATGAATATGCTGTTCATTCACGATTCATTCAGGCATCACGTGAATCCTGAATGCCGATTGCATGAAGCAATGAATGACACTGACGTAGAGGTTCAAATTGAAGTGATCCATGTTCAATTCATTCATGAATCGTTCAAAGTTCACCTGAATCCTGAAGTGTCAATGAACGTTCAGAAACGGAATTCAGAGCAGCCATTAATTAATAGTGGACGATTGCATTATCGAGGCGGGAAAAAGATCGGCTGGCTCAGCTTCGAGCCACATCATGGCTCTTCGGGGCGGGCGGCTCGCAGAAACCGATGAATCGGGTGAGAAAGCGGTCTTGAACGAGGCTGCGATGAAAGCTGTATCGGCAAGGGGAAAAGCCACAGCACGCGAGCTGCAATGCAGACAAGAGACATTCGAGCTTACCGCGAAGCCCGTCCTCAATACCAACTACCGGCCTATTCTTCAGAACGTGTCCTATTGTGTTACCCGACGCTTGGCACTCCTCCCGATGCTAGTCACTTTTTTACCTCCTCACAAATTCGACCCTGGGAAACCGCGCCAAAAGCTCATTGACACAACACTTGAAACCTATCTGACAAGTGACCAGGGGCGGGACGAAGGTCTTTCTTGGTATACACAGGGGGCGAAACGTTATCATGACCTGAAGCGAGCAAATCCAAACACGTTACCACTGATGCGCCGTCCGCGTGTTATGGAGGAAGCTGTCAAAGCATACATCAACGATTCAGACATTGCCACGCGGTTGATCGCTGATTGTCTTGAATTCGAAGACATTCAATCCGGAGAAAAAGCAGAATGGCACTTAGCGGTTGGTGAACGGCTTGGAGAAGCCTTTCGAACTTGGTTGAAGGAAGAAGACCTACACAGCGCGTTGTCGGCAACGCAGCTGAAAAAGCGCATTCTGGAGTATGCTGAGGGGAAAAATCGGATAGTCAAGGACGGGCAATTTACGGATAGCCAGGTACAATATCCAGGACAGTTTAAAGGCCTTTCGGGGGTTCGACTAGTGCCTGGCCGCGAGTCCAACGCGTTGGAGTAGATGAAGGCAACCATGATGAGCGCAGGTAATGATGCGCCGAGAGAGATTCTGCAGATTGGTTCTTGTTTTTCCATATTCTATGTGCATAGCCGACATGTCATTATGATGTGAATTGCTCCAACAATCGTCTGAGATGTCACCAGCTTACATCGCTAGTCGCTCTATATGGCCGTGCCTCTCTGCAGACCAACAGTCTAGAAGACCAAAATTCTAAGAATTTTTTATTTCAGAATCTCTCAGAGGTCATAATTGCTATAATCGAAAAGATACAAATACGCGGTCTTTTAGACTTTTGGTCTGCGGCAGTGCTACCAAGGTGTACCTCTGCATGCGATGATGATGACTCCGAGATTGTGTTCATGCTTCAGATCCATAAGTAGGAGTAATTCAAAGATGCTTCATAATTGAACATTGGATGTTGCAGACCAAAAGTCTAGAAGACCAAGATTCTAAAAATATTTTATTTCAGAATCTCTCAGAGGTCATAATTGCTATAATCGAAAAGACATGAATACGCGGTCTTCTGGCCTTTTGGTCTGCGGCCCTAGCTAGGTACGATCATGAGCACAAAACATTCCACTTGGTGTGTGTGCAGCGGCATACGATGTAGAAAGTGCACGTCAATAGTGGTGAATATATGCAGCATACCTGCAAATTACAATACATTCTGAACTTGACGTCGTTGTTTCACTAGAGGCTCTAACACAACAAGAGATGTTGCCGTACAGCCGGCCACCACGTGTCCGCTCTGCCCGCAATGCGCAGCTTCGGTTCGTCAACCCGTTTCAGATCGCTATTCCTTCCACTGACGAGGTTAGCAAGGATGATCATGAGCGCAACGAGGCTCCTGTACCATGCTTGCGTCTTGAAGTTCACGAGAAAGGCGTTGCATGACTCGACCGCAGAGGTGTTGACCCATCGCACAGAGTCGTAGTAATCTGCACGTGAATGAACAGAAGAATTGATTGCGACCTCTTGAAAATCCGAGTTGCATCCTTTGTGAATGCCGTGTAAAATGAACACTTCTGCAAAGATATTTAGAACTTGTCGCCTTCTATAGAGATCATCGGAAGCATTGAACTCGCTTCCTCAGTGCGCGTCGCCGCGTCTGCAGGAGCCTAAGAAAGATGCCGGCGTGTTCAGACTAGGCCCGTTGATATTCTTACGCATTCAGAACGCAGCGCATGATCAAATGCTCAGTCAAAAGCCGCCTCCTTCTTCTATGTGAAAGGTGGGGCGATATTGACTGTATTGCTCCAACCCCACCTCCTACACACACTCTGACTTGGCGCCTTCCTCGACTCGGATCGAAGCATATGTACCATCATCCTGCAGACGCGTCAGGATCTTACCTGGGTTGTACGACGGGCCACATTTGTGAGCTTCGGAAGTTGTGCGTTGAAAGTGAAATCTGCATGGATGGCGCATGGATTAGGATCAGGACAAAAAGTGCACAATCGAATGGGATTGCGACCATTGTATGGCACTGGCGTAGGGCTCATAGAAACCTCTTCGATTGAAGCTGCCACATAGCTTGCAAAAATTTTCGCTTACCTGTCGACGAGAAATCGAACTTCCGCAAAGAACGTTGGCTCTCTCCGCATCACGTAGGCACGCAGCTTGCAGGCGTTGTCGTAGACCAGGTACGCGGGGAGATCGTGGCGATTGAGGCGGGTGTATAAGACCGTGAACGGGTCTCGCGGCGACTCCCCACGAAGCATCACGTGGAACCCATATATCACGCGATGCGAGCAGCAGAAAACGAACCCGCCCTTGGTGTGCCGTCGGAGACTCCTTGCCTTTTTCACCCCGCTCTCGAGGGCGATCTTGGCATCGAATTCGCCGACCATTAGCCCGCTCCGGCAACGATGCTCCTCGTTGGGCTGGAGAGACCTCCCGAGGTCGTCCTCGAACGGCTCGTATTGCGGGAGGGGCCGTTTTTGCTCCCACCCTGGAAGCGGGTAGCAACCCAACTCTCGTTGCTCCCGACCGTAGGGATGATCCGCGGGCAAGGGCCCTGGCTCCGACCCGTCTGGCTCGAGACCAAGTCTGTCATTGAGCAACGTCCTCTCTGGCGGGAGCAGAGCGTACTCGTGCGGTGCGGGAGGGGAAAGGTTTTCGACCCCGGGGAGGAGCGCGTTTGCCCGGGCTGCCCAAAAGTCGAAGGCCTGCTGCTGCTCGACGGTCAGAGGGTTCGGCTCTCGCCCTAGCCAGACGCAGACATCGAGGCCTTCGATGGCCGACAACGCCCATCCCGCCCGCCCCACCCCGAGTCCCACGGCTCCACGTCCAAAGAGCGTCAACCGGTAGAGATGATGTAGCGTCGGATAGAAGAAGCGAGGGTACCGGTCGCCGTAGTGGTCCAGCAGCCGACGCAGGATTGGAGAGTGCTCTGCTAGCACGACCTTGTCGTCATCGTTTGCGGCTCCCCCGAGGAGCAGCTTGCGAATGACACTCAGGGCCTTCCCATGCTGGATGAGATTGGAGTCGTCCGAGACTGAGTGCGGCGCGCCGAGAGTGTAGACCAGCTCCGCCCATCTGCTGGGGCAGTGCGGAGGCCAGCAAGCCTCCTCTTGCATGGCTTCTCTCTCGATGCCGTCGTGCAGCTCGTGCGCTGCTTTGTTCTTCGATCGCATCTGGCCGACCTGGTCCGCCCGGACCCAACGGCGCCAGTGCAGGAGGACGGGGTCCGCGTCGGCATCATCCGGGTCCGGAACGAAGTCTGTGACGCCTTGCACGTCGTCTCTATTGAGCGCGATCTGCACACAAAGACTCCGTGTCAGAGCATCGAACGCCTCAATCGTCGATGTTTTGTTTACTTGGAATAAAGGATTGACATATTGGTACAGATCGGACAGCTTCTTAGGAACATCAGCAGCGCGAGTCCAGGTCGGAACTCACCAGAAGCTCCTCATATTCTCGCGCACTAGGAGTCTTTCCCAGCTCTGGATCGGCAGTGTGGTGGGCGCTATATCGGGCTATAAGCGTGCGGATTTCCGGCTGCTGCACTAAACGCGTCTTCAACCCTCCACCGAAAAGAGACGCCGCGCAGTAGTTGCTTCCGGCCTCCATGACCTTCCGCACGTTGCCTCCGTCGGTGCCTTGACTGGGCGCTGTGAATGGTCGGAGCTGAGCGGCATCCGTTCCAGCCAGACCGCCCTCTGACGCGTGGCGTCAGCGCAAGCGAGCCCCGCGATGCCGTCGCAAAGGAGAACCTAGTGTTCACAAAAAAGTGACCACCCTTGTCGATATGATTCACATGGACAACAATCTAGCGCTCTTGCGGCCGTAGAACCCACAAGTCTAGCTGCCTCCGCATCAGAAGGTCACTGCCTCTATGCCAACGACGTGCCTCCACTCCCATCCCATGCAGAAATCGTTACTACTTCGTCTCATCAGCAGCGGAAGCAGAAAGTGGAGACAATTTTGTGATTGAAAGTTTCTCAAGTGCCTTCTTTGTTACCGACAGAAGAGCGTGGCAACACATACCTCTGGATGTGGACCGCAAATGCTGCAGCACTCCATGATCTGCCGTCCGCACAGCTTGTAGAAGCCGAGGCTCGCTTTGCGCCAAGTCTCTTTGGTCAAGAGAGTCGCGTTGGGGTCGTAGAGACTCCGTGCCGTACCTCCGGCTGCCACGAGTGCATTAAAAGCGGCTCCTGAGTGTTGTACGGACCGAAGCATAAGCTGGCATGCGGCTTGCGTAATGACCACCCCTCGTTTCCATGCGTACAGACCGAGTGCCTCGCCGTTGAAGTGAACGGTGTGCTTCTCGGGACACACGCAGCAATAGATCCGGAGCTTGACCTGCACGAAAACAGAATCCAAATACTAGCGCCATATGTTGATTGACAGCTTTTCTTTGAATTACTATAATATCACGGTTGAATTGAAGATTCAAATACTAGACATTGCAAGGCTTTAACTTATCAACCATGCGCGTGCTCTGATCCAATTGAGAGAATTCCGCGTAGATGTCTTTATATGCCGTCGGACACTCTTATCTCAATCAGCATTTGCAAGCAGAACAAAGGCTACAGAGCTAGGCATTGTAATGTTTACCTCCTGGGACCAACCCAAGTCGTGAATTTGTGCTCTCTGCCAGAGCCCCAACCATTCGGTCCCGCAAGGTGGAGCCGTTCTGGGGCACGGAGCTGAGAGGGCCCCCGCAGCACTCAGCTCTCCGAAATCCCGTGCCGTCAGCTCGCTAACCCTGACAGGGTTTCGCAGCAGCAGCACCTCGGGGTCATGGACTTGCCAAGAGTCATTGGGGCGAACGAGCTTGGGCACCTCCAGCTGAACGCCCTCGGCATCCATGGGTAGGACCGTTGCAACACCGCTCGAGGCACCGTGCGGGCACGTACTGGAGGGGCACGCGCAGGCGTTACACACCGGGATGAGGAACGGTGCTTGATCATCGATCCGGAGGGCGTTATCCGTTCTCCGCCCCGTCTCGTCCGCGAAAGCCTCATCCTCATCCGGCTCGACCTGCCCCATGCTACCATTTGCAGCTTCTGACTTCTCCGTTTCTGCGTGCTCCGGGTCAGCGGCCGCCCAGTATGATTTGCACCCCCTCCGTTTGATCGATCTTGCGGATGCCCCAGCAACATCACCAGAACTTTCTGCTTGCTCCGATCGAGCTCGCTTTCCGTTCGTTTGAGCAGAAGTGCAACACCTTGCCGTGCAGGGCTCCTCATTGGGTTGATTGCCCCCCAACGCCCTCGGATGCTGCTTGCAGAAGCAGTCCGGCCCTGCGCATGCGGCCCTCTCATGGCTCCCAACGACCAGCTCCGCGATGTATCCGTCCACGTCGAAGGCTGTGGTACTCGGCCCGCCGTGGGCCGTGACACCCCCTCCCCGACTATCTACCACCCTCGTCCTCAGAGACGTCACTGCCAGCTCGAGCTGGCTCTCCGAAAATACACTGTTGGCCGGTTTGTCCGCACCGCCCGGTCGATCCAAAGCTCGTTTTACCTCTTTGATATGTGAGCAGTCGGCCCTCTTGCTGCAACCGTCCTTCTCTCCCTCACAAAACCAACCCATCTGCGCCGCCTCTCCGTAGTGAACCATCGTCCTCTTCGGTGAGGGCGAGCCAGCATTCCAACACACTCCAAATACCCGCTCTCCAGCTCTGTCGCATGGTACCTCCACCACCCTTGGGCCTTTCTGCAGCGACACGGCGCTCGCTAGCCTCGGCGACTCCAATGCCTGCAGGGCAAGCTTGTGGACGCAGGGCGCCCGCGAGTACAACCGGCCCCGGTCGCAGGTGCAGCTGATGTCCCCCGTTGTGTCTCGATGCACTGTCTCAAGCAGCGCGCACGCCTTGCTTGGTCGCCCAAGAGGCTTGATCCTGGCGGCGTTGTGATTCCAAACTTGTGCTAGCCAAGTAGACCGTACTGGCAGACCCCTGCTCGCCGACGCTGTAGAGAGCGAACTCCCCCGACTGAACGCCATCAAGGAACATTTTAGCCTGGTCGACGATGGTCCGCTGATTTCCTGCGCCGGACGCTTCTACAGCCTCTGTGTCGATATGCCCCTGCATCCATTCCAGGGTTGCCAATCAGATATGCTACAAACCGAATATGAACTTGTGCTCTAGATGAACACCCGTCAACGCTCCTAGATCAAGTTGGATTCATCAGCCCATTATCTATCAATTCTGTCAGCAGCATGGAGACCCGGGTCCATATTGTTCACACCTAGTGGCCGTCCAGACACTCACATCCTGTTGACATTCAGAGTCTGATGACGTTAGTAGCGGCCGATGATAAAAAGCCGGTGATATCCTTGGACACTTGGACAGATTGTTGAATGCTTCACTACTGTAGTATGGACCGTATATAGGCTTGCAAAAGAAGCACCCGGTAGCACACAGATGCACAAGCAGAGGCATTTCTAGGGTTTGACGATTCATAGTTGTGCCTTACCAATGCTTGTGCACTAGATCTTGGTATTTCCCCCGCCTTCCGTCCCCTATTCAGTGATGCTTGTGCCGCAGTATTCTTGTGCTTCCCACTGAAGGCAACTTACCGATCCTCTTGCTCTTTCTTTTCCAGGTTGCCGACCTCTTCTCCCGAAAGCTCCTTCACTTGGCTCCATGCTACTACTTGCGTCTTGCGCTAGAACCAGATCTCAGATGAAGCCACGAGGCCCCGGTCTTTCCTTGCTACGGTGACTGTGAGTTTGTTGGCACACTGGGTCACAGGACCATAATATCGCTTCACGCACTCGAGGCAGATAGGCTGACGCTTTCTCTTACCCTTGGCTAGAGAATCGGGTGCGCTGATTGCGAAACCCCTCAGTGGGTGGTTTTTGCGACATGCAAGCTGGTAACCCTGATGATGCTTTTTAAGCAGTGGTTGAAAGCAAAGAGGGCACTTGGATGCTAGTGAGTTGGCGGGAATGGTCTGAAGCGCTTGCAGATCTACGATAAAATCGCCGCGTGTGACATGGCTCTGACTGCAGGGGTGCAAAGCGTAGCTTGGGGTGCTAGGGTTGTTCGCTCGGGCCGCACTAGATCCTGGAGTTGGTTGCATCTTCTCCGAGCTCCTCAAGATCCTAGGTCGTGGCCGGTAGTTAGTGGAGGTTATATCAGAGCGGCTGGCGACTTCTCCTTAAATAGACGCTTTGGTCATTCCGGGCCCTTTTCCCAGTCTACTCATGAGATATCCCCGGACACTAGGTTTACGGTCCCGTCCGGCGGGTTCTGGTAGTGAGTTGGGTCGGAATATCTACCCTTGCAGCACGTCGCAATGCCTCCAACCTGGCGCCTGATTTGGGATCTGTCAAAGCTTCAAGACACCGCCATCTGCGAACAGTATCAAAGTAAATTGGCTAAACTTTTAGATGTCAATGATAAAATCAACTCAAAATTGGTATCTCCTGCTGAAATGCTAAAATTGCCGTTTATTCTTCGCCAATCTCTCCACACGATAACAGCTCTCTTCACCCATCAAGTCACGGTGGCTCTCGCTGACACAATCCCAGTTAAGAAGGTGAGATTTGACAGCAAACCTTATTGGGATGAACAGTTGCGCGATTTACAATCGTTACGTACATCTGCTT